AACAAGAAAAGGCATACCACCCGTTTCTGCAAAGCGACTGCCCAACACGCCAATACCGGAGCCAGCCGAACCTATTACGGCTGTGGGGAAACTGGACATTTCAAGAGGGACTGGCCGAAAGCTGGGAACACAAACGTTGGTGGTGTTGGAAGGGTCTTGGCCTTTGGGCAAGGGGAAGTAATGGAAGATCCCATGGTGGTTACCGGTATGTTTCTCCTCAATAACTCATATGCATGCATATCATTCGATAGTGGAGCATAGAGGAGTTTCGTTAGCCACAGATTCAAGAACATATTAAAACAAAACCCTCAATCACTAAAAGATACATACGTCATAGAAATGGCAAATGGGAAGACAGAAAGAACTAATGACATATACTCAAGGTGTACCCTCACTCTAGACAATCACTCATTCAAAATCGATCTATTGCCGGTTTCAATAAAGGGTTTCGATATCATCATTGGCATGGATTGGTTGACCTCAAATCGTGCGGACATTCTGTGTTACGAAAGGGTCATTCGCCTCAATCTGCCAAGTGGCAGAACTCTCATCATCTATGGTGACAAACCTAGTGCGAACCTACAAATCATCTCTTGCGTCAAAGCACAAAACTATCTCTGTAAGGAGTACCATGCTTTCTTGGCCCACGTAGTCGATAAGAAACAAGAAGAAAAAGACATCAAGGACATTCCGAAGGTCTATGACTTCTCTGATGTATTTCCAGAAAACCTTCCTGAAGTCCCGTCCGCACGATAGGTTGACTTCCAAATCGATGTAATCCCTGGAGCTACCGCCATAGCCAAAGTGCCATACCTCTTATCGCCAGCCGAGATATACGAACTGTCCAGTGAATTAAACGAACTGCTAAGAAAAGGATTTATCCAACCGAGCTTCTCGCCCTGGGGAGAACCAGTCCTGTTCGTGAAAAAGAAAGATGGATCGTTCCATATGTGCATCGATTACCGCGAGTTGAACAAAATTACCATCAAAAAACGATACCCTCTGCCTTGAATCGACGATTTGTTTGACCAACTCCAAGGAGCGACATACTTTTCAAAGATCGATCTGAGGTCGAGATACCATCAACTATGAGTATAGGAGGAGGATATCCATAAAACGGCGTTTAGAACCCGATACGGCCACTACGAATTCGTAGTGATGCCCTTCGTACTACCCAACGCACCCACTGTATTCATGGATCTAATGAATTGGGTGTGCCGGCCTTACTTAGACAAGTTTGTAATTGTCTTCATAGATGGCATTTTGATTTACACAAGGACTAAGGAAGAACACAGCCAACACTTACGACGAGCTTTGGAGACTCTAAGGGCGGAGAAATTGTGTGCAAAATTTTCTAAGTATGTATTTTGGATCCGATAGGTGAGTTTCCTCGGTCATGTAGTTAGCAAAGAAGGGATTCACGTGGATCCTTCCAAAGTTAAGGTGATTGAAAACTGGTCTGCACCGAGGATGCCCATAGAAATACGCCAGGTCTTAGGCCTTGTCGTCTACTACAGGAGATTCATCCAGAACTTTTCCAAAATCGCTAAACCACTCACCACCCTGACCCAAAAGGGATTAACCTTTGACTATGGAGAAAATCAAGATGTTGCGTTCCAAACGCTAAAGCAGGCTCGGTGCAGCGCTCCAATTCTATCTCTACCAGAAGGAAACGAAGACTTCATGCTCATCGGTGACACCTCAAACCAAGGTCACGGTTGTGTATTAATGCAAAGAGGAAAAGTCATTGCATATGCATCGAGGCAGCTGAAAACACACAAGGTCAACTATGCCATGCACGACCTCGAACTAGGAGCAGTGGTGTTCGCTCTAAAGATCTGAAGGCATTACCTCTATGGGGAATGAAGTGTACCACTTTCACCGATCATAAAAGCCTCCAACACATCCTTAATCAAAAGAAACTCAACATGAGGTAGAGACGATGGGTGGAACTACTAAATGATTATGAATGTGAAATTCAATATTTTTGGTAGTTTCTCTTATGAATGAAAATTAGATCCGTAAACTCTAAGAGTTTGGAAAATGTGTCTAGTTTTCTCATAATTTTTATTATGATTTTTAGAAGCCTGTAACTTATGTGAAAACGTTCATATTCACATACTGGTCTGAATTCGTAGCTATAGTGATAGACAGTTTTGTAAAAATCACCATAAATTGTAGAAAAATCAGTTGAGTATGTGCAAGTAGTCATTTTAAATGAATAAACCTGAACCATTTTCATATTAAACAGTTTTGAATAATTTTAAGTTTAAGTTGGTCAAAACAGTCCGTGAATGGAACTAAACTTTCCCGATGAAAGCTGATGTTTGAGTTTAGTTAGATTTTTGGTGTTTTAACTTGTATTCGCCCCCCTACCCCTAAAACTTGAAGAAAACATGAAAATGTAGGGGTATGAACTCACCTTGAGTACTTTCGTGAGATGAATGTGGAAGAAGAGAGGTTTCCAAATCAAGAACACTTGGGAGGTGCTTGAAGATTTAAAAAATCCTAGGCACAAATATGACGATGTTTGTGTAAGAGGTTCATGATTTGAGTGAAGAAGTATAGAGTATCCAAGTGTAGGATGTAGATACTTACCAAAACTGGAGGAAAATGCCTAAGAACAGCCTTGAAATCTCGAGTTTAGAGAGAGAAAGTGAGAGAGAGAAATGGGTTTGCTTTTTGGTGAAAGAGTGAGTAAGGTGGGAGGAGAGATAAGCATTTCCAGCCTTTGATCAAGATCCTTTGCTGAAGAGGAGGGTGACAGGACAAATAGTTGACTAGGTGGGGATGAATAGTGACTGAGGGTGGTCATAGAGTGAGTATGGAAGATAGCTTGTGTCATTACTTTATGGAAAAGTCAACACTCCAACTCAATATATTACCCAATAGATATTAGACAAAGATTTCCCTCAAAATGTGATTAAATTATGAATATATAGTGTCTTATATGTCAAAATATCATTTTGAGTGAAAATCCCACCTTAAAATCATGAAAAACAGGCTTAAAACAAGAAACTGGTCGAAAACCGGAACTAAGAGGCGAACATGTGAAGTTCGACCATTAAGAACCGAGAGGGTGGCTTCGGTCCGAGCAGCCTCGTAAGTGAGAATGGAAGGGAAGCGAAGGCGAAGTTTGCAGGAGAACTCGTCAGAAGGGAACCGAAAGCGAATGCAGTCAGAGGAGCGAAGGCGAAGGCCGCTTCAGGTTCGGTCTCGGGGTTTCAGTCCAAACTGCTATTTCGGTTCTTAGAGAGTTTCAGCTTCGGCTCTTGTTCCCTTCGCTTCTTAGGGTTCGTTTTCCATGGGGATTCTCGGCTTCGGTCCTAAAGGGCTGTTTTTAAAATGAACTTCTCGTTTCGAGTGATTTTTGACCAAAATAAGGGTTGGGATGCCCCAAGTGATTATGAAAAGTTAAGAGAGGTTATGAGAGAGATTTGGGAGATATTTGAGAGAGAATTAGGGGAGAAAGAGAGAGAGAGAGAGAGAGAGAGAGAGAGAGAGATGGAGCGAGAGATATTGAGGGAGACTTTGTTTGTGACCTTTGTGAGTGCTTAGCTTCGAAATGCAAGGTTTATAAACCCCATTAAGCCTTGTTATGAGTGTTATACGTCCCCGGAGGGTATGTAATAATGTTTTATCGAGTAGTTCCATCACTTACCCTCATTAGGGTTTAGATTTTCTGAACACGTGAAGACTCAAAGTGATTCTTTGCATTAAGATAGGGTGTTGTACAATAGTAAACATAATGAAATCCCTAATATACAAGGGTTAATTGAGTTAACCGATTTGACTTGTTGACTGTATTTGACTTTGATTAGACTGGAAATTGACGGTTGTCACATCATCCCCCCGTTAGAAGGAATTTCATCATGAAATTTGGCACTTTGAATGGTACTTCAAGAGTTGGGGAAATGATGTTGGAATTTTTGTTTCATCTGGTCTTCACGTTGCCAAGTGAACTCGGGTCCTCGCTTGGCGTTCCATTGGACTTTCACAATGGGAATGCGACTTTTTTTCGCTTTTTTGATTTCTCGGTCCATGATTTCTACCGGTTCTTCCATGAAGTGGAGACTCTCGTTGATTTCAATCTCGTCAAGAGGAATAATAAGAGTCTCGTCGGACATGCACTTATTTAAGTTTGACACATGGAAGGTGGGATGTACATCTTTGAGTTCTTGTGGTTGTCGAAGCTTGTATGCTACTGTGCCAATCCTAAAGAGGATCTCAAATGGTCCGATGTATCTCAAGTTTAGCTTTCCTCGTTTACTGAAACATATTAAGCCCTTCCAGGGTGAGACTTTTAACAACACTTGATCTCCAACTTGGAATTCCAAAGGCTTTCGTCTATTACCTGCGTAACTCTTCTGTATGTCTCTAGAAGTCTTTAACCTTTCCCAGATTTGGACAATCTTTTTGGTAGTTTCTCTTATGATCTCCAGGCCAGTGAGGGAACTGTTAGGGACTTGCGCCTTTGCTAGATGTGTGTCGCCCACTTCAGCCCAACACAGTGGTGACCTGCACTTCTTGCCATAGAGGGCCTCAAATGGAGCAAATTTGATGCTTGTGTGATAACTGTTGTTGTACAAGAATTTGATAAGTGGCAAGTGGGTATCCTATGCTTTCCCAAAGTCTATTACACGTGACCTAAGAATATCTTCTAACGTTTGAATGGTCCTCTCACTCTGCCCATCAGTTTACGAGTGATAATTTGTACACATGTCCAGCCTAGTTTGTCTGCATGGGGTGCCTGTGTCCATTCACCTCGAGATTTTGGCAGTAACTCCAGAAGTCATTGGGAACTAGGCTGGACATGAGTACAACTTATCACTCGTAAACTGATGGGCAGAGTGAGAGGACCATTCAAACATTAGAAGATATGCTTAGGGCATGTGTAATAGACTTTGGCAAAGCATAGGACACCCACTTGCCACTTATCGAATTCTTGTACAACAACAGTTATCACACAAGCATCAAATTTGCTCCATTTGAGGCCCTCTATGGCAAGAAGTGCAGGTCACCACTGTGTTGGGCTGAAGTGGGCGACGCACAGCTAGCAAAGGGGCAAGTCCCTAACAGTTCCCTCACTGGCCTGGAGATCATAAGAGAAACTACCAAAAAGATTGTCCAAATCTGGGAAAGGTTAAAGACTTCTAGAGACATACAGAAGAGTTACGCAGGTAATAGGCGAAAGCCTTTGGAATTCCAGGTTGGAGATCGAGTGTTATTAAAAGTCTCACCCTGGAAGGGCTTAATATGTTTCAGTAAAAGAGGAAAGCTAAACCTGAGATACATTGGACCATTCGATATCCTCTTTAGGATTGGCCCAGTAGCATACAATCTTCAACAACCACAAGAACTCAGAGATGTACATCCCACCTTCCATGTGTCAAACTTAAATAAGTGCTTGTCCGACGAGACTCTTATTATTCCTCTTGACGAGATTGAAATCAACAAGAGTCTCCACTTCATGGAAGAACCGGTAGAAATCATGGACCGAGAAATGAAAAATGCGAAACAAAGTCGCATTCCCATTGTGAAAGTCCAATGGAACGCCAAGCGAGGACCCGAGTTCACCTGGCAACGTGAAGACCAGATGAAACAAAAATTCCAACATCATCTCCCCAACTCTTGAAGTCCCGGTCAAAGTGCCAAATTTCATGATGAAATTCCTTCTAACGGGGGGATGATGTGACAACCGTCAATTTCCAGTCTAATCAAAGTCAAATAAAGTCAACAAGTCAAACCGGTTAACTCAATTAACCCTTGTATATTAGGGATTTCATTATGTTTACTATTGTACAACACCCTATCTTAATGCAAAGAATCACTTTGAGTCTTCACGTGTTCAGAAAATCTAAACCCTAATCAGGGTAAGTGATGGACCTACTCGATAAAACATTATTACATACCCTCCGGGGACGTATAACACTCATAACGAGGCTTAATGGGGTTTACAAACCTTGCATTTCGAAGCTAAGCACTCGCAAAGGTCACAAACAAAGTCTATCTCAATCTCTCTCGCTCTATCTCTCTCTTTCTCCCCTAATTCTCTCTCAAATATCTCCCAAATCTCTCTCATAACCTCTCTTAACTTTTCATAATCACTCAGGGCATCCCAACCCTTATTTTGGTCAAAAATCACTCGAAACGAGAAGTTCATTTTAAAAACAGCCCTTTAGGACCGAAGCCGAGGATCCCTATGGAAAACGAACCCTAAGAAGTGAAGGGAACAAGAGCCGAAGGTGAAACTCTCTAAGAACCGAAACAGCAGTTTGGACTGAAACCCCAAGACCGAACCTGAAGCCGCCTTCGCCTTCGCTCCTCCGACTGCATTCGCTTTCGGTTCCCTTCTGACGAGTTCTCCTGCAAACTTCGCCTTCGCTTCCCTTCCATTCTCACTTACGAAGCTTCTGGGACAGAAGCCACCCTATCGGTTCTTAATGGTCAAGCTTCACATGTTCGCCTCTTAGTTCCGGTTTTCGACCAGTTTCGTGTTTTAAGCCTGTTTTTCATGATTTTAACGTGGGATTTTCACTCAAACTCATGTTTTAACATATAAGACCCTATATATTCATAATTTAATCACATTTTGAGGGAAATCTTTGTCTAATATCTATTGGGTAATATATTGAGTTGGAGTGTTGACTTTTCCATAAAGTAATGACACAAGCTATCTTCCATACTCACTCTATGACCACCCTCAGTCACTATTCATCCCTACCTAGTCAACTATTTTTCCTGTCACCCTCCTCTTCAGCAAAGGATCTTGATCAAAGGCTGGAAATCCTTATCTCTCCTCCCACCTTACTCACTCTTTCACCAAAAAGCAAACCTATTTCTCTCTCTCACTTTCTCTCTCTAAACTCGAGATTTCAAGGTTGTTCTTGGGCATTTTCCTCTAGTTTTGGTAAGTAACTTCATCCTACACTTGAATACTCTATACTTGTTCACTCAAATCATGAACCTCTTACACAAAGATCGTCACATCTGTGCCTAGGATTTTTAAATCTTCAAGCACCTCCCAAGTGTTCTTGATTTGCAAAACCTCTCTTCTTCAACATTCATCTCACGAAAATCACTCAAGGTGAGTTCGTACCCCTACATTTTC